TTCTCTTTCTAATAATAGAAACAAAATGTAATTTTTCAAAATTAATTACTCTTTAGTAAACTTTAATTTGTATTTATATAGAATCTCTTGTGTATTGTTTTTCATGACAATATTACATAAATGATAGTGCAGTTTACGCTACAATTGCGCGACTAATACTTGCAGGATATATTTGTTTTATGATGTATAAAAGAATCACCTGATAAATATGTGAATAATAATACTTTTGCAAGTAAAAGTATAGCTATGCACACATGTATTAAATAATAAAATTTTTTATTAATTTCAGATATTTATTTATTTATTAGAATTATGCATACAAATTTGTTAAATTACTTATTTTGTTTCTACGTCGGATACAAACATTGTATTATTATTATGTATGAAATTCCTGTAATTTAAAAATATAAATAGGAGGATAAAGAATTTTGATAGTGGTTATATATTCCGTGCTACTGTTTAAACACATCATTATGACGTGTTTATTTTTAAATTTTTCCAAAAATCAGATTTTCTTTAAACTATTAATATAAACATATATAAATTTTTAGTTAAATTTATTTTCTGTACGTTAATAAACTATATAGATACTAAATTGATTTAAGGGGTTACACCACTGTAGAAGTCTAAAATAAAGCGTTTTTTTGCGATTTTTTTTTGTTGGGAGGAAAAGTAAGAGGATAATAATGTTCAAGGATGTTATTAATCATGTTTTTAAGTGTTCAAAAAAAATTATTATTTTTTAATAGTACAAAATGGCGACGCTGCAGCCATTCTCGCGAAGCATGTTTAATTTGACGCGCTCTGCGGCACGCAGTATAACTGACGCAAATTTGAATCTGGAAAAAAAAAATTTTTTTTCTTAATCTACATGAGTATAGCTAGAGAAATACATAGGGGATTTTAAAAATATTAATTTTTGTGTGATTGGCGAGCATTTGAAGTAAACAGTTCAATTCTTGACCAAAAAAAGAGGCAATCATTTGTTAATAAATAATGTTTAGAATCAACTTGTCGAAAATCCCGTATGTATTTCTCTTATCGGAATGTTATTTTAAAGATATGGTCAAAATTTGGAGTGAATAGAATGAAAATTGTTGGACTTATGCTGCGTGCCGCGGAGTAGTGCTATAGCGACTCGTGCCCCGCCATTTTGTATTTTTTTAACAAATAAAAAAATTTTCTACATACTTTAACCTTTCGTCCGCATAGGTGGGTCGTTTTCGTCCGGGCGAAAATCAAATGTAGTTGTAACTTTTGCAAACGCGTAGAAATGGCGCCACTGCGCATCCGTAAAAAAAGTTATGCTCCCCGAGAACCCGCCTACCGAGTTTCAAGGCGCCAGACCTCCTCCAGCCGTCACAGGAGACACGTAATTCTTGAAAAAACGAGGTTGGCGGCGAACACTTAAGCACTTCATTTCAAAATAATTGCATGCAATATTTTTTTTATGAAAGGTACGTTTTTCCCCTTTAATTTCTTTTTTTATTTATTTCGATATCTTTATTTGTCTTAAAGTTATGATTTTTTGAGTAAAAGATGATTTTACAAGCTGTAGTTGTAGTTGCTCCATTTCTTAAATAAAAAATATGTGAAAAAATTAAATTGCTTATAATTTTATGATTGATACTTCAAATTGAAGGTTTGAATTACCTCCATGAATTTTTTCAGATTTTTTGTAACACTTTAACACTTAAAAAAAAACGTCAAGACGAAAACGACCCACCAAGCGGCGTAAAGGTGCCAAAAAAACGTATGCGGACGAAGGGTTAATATATGTCTAATAAAGCCTAAAAGTTCTTTTGACCATATATTTCATTCCTTTCTAAAAAAAAAATACCAAAGAAAATGGACAGTTACAGTGGTGTAACCCCTTAAACATTTTTGGAAAGCGCGCCATAGGTGTCCTGAACAATATGGCGGACAGTCGACGGTGTCCAATCTCTTACTTGAGGATCTCTAGTCCAATGGAAAAATGTTGTCAATGACCGCGTTCAGCAAACACAACTGTTGAGTTCATTTTATCAACACTCTGCGTTGATTGGCTGGTTAATTCTAAAAGTTAAGAGCCAATCACGTTCGACTGCTACTCAGCGGCTTGGTCTGCTGAACGCGCCCAATCGCAAATCGCAACGTGGTCAAACGGGACGCTTCTTTCGCTGCTTCAACACGGGATTGCAGTATATTAATTTCCCGTTGTTAGAATGTTATTGTTTTATATTGTGCGCAACGCTCATTGCGACAGCCATGATGCGTACATTTACGTACGATGCGTGAGTGCATATACACGCGTGTGGATCGAGCAGTGCAGAGTGCTCCCAGTAAGCAAGGAACATTAAATTAACGTTTAGAAATATTGACTTTATGTGTATTTTTTAAACGTTTTTTAATAATATTATAGACATATTTGAAAAATATTATTTCGTAATATGATTTTTTTGAATGTTGTTAAATATTTTAAAAACGTTACAAAAAATATTTTTCAAATGTTACTCTGACATTTATTTGAGATTAATGCAACAGTTCAAAATTCCTTGTAATTTGGACTTGGAAATAACGTTGGTAGTATATTAATTTTCTGTTGTTAGAATGTTACTGTTTTATATTGTGCTCAACGCTCATCGCGACAACCATGATGCGTACATTTACGTACGATGCGTGAGTGCGTATACACGCGTGTGGATCGAGCAGTGCGGAGTGCTCTTTATTTACAGTATATTTATATATAAGTAAGTAACTATTAGATTCTAAAAGTTGTATATTAATAATAAAAACTCAATTAACCATACGTGCTATGAATAGTAGCTGATATGATGATCTATAAAATAACCTATAATTTAGGTTAACTACAAATAACGTTTTTTGGGTATCGGTAGAAGCTATATAGTGGAATTATTTGCTATTTTCTTGCAATTTACTGCCGATTATTTTCAGCTGTTTGAGCGCGTCGAGATCATGAGCAGACGCACGCTTGTTGCGACAGCCAATCGGAAACATGCAGTAATAATAGTTCTGGAGACTGTAGTCGCATTATCTTACATACGCGATGCGTGAGTGTGTCATATATACGTATGTTTGTGCTTGTGCTGTCGAGCGCTTTTAATTGTATACAATATTTTTATATGGGTAAGTATTATTATATTCTAAAACTTGCCCGGGAAAAAATATTCATATCTGACAGTATATATTTATATATGAACATGTAAAACTTATATATGTTCATATATAAATAAGATATGAACAGATATAAGTTTTACATGCCCATATCCCTTACAGAAAAGTATTACTGACTAAATACTTAAAATCTCAGTGATTTAATACTGTCAATATTTATTTGGGAAATACTGGGAAAATACTGGTAGTAATAAATATTATAGGTAATGATTAATACTACACAGAACTACTGGTGCTTAGTATTGAATTACTCACCGATATTTCGATTTCCGATATTTACCCGGCATAAAAAAAAATTATTTTTTTTTGAAATTTTATTACTATTTTATAACTAAATTTGTTTCTTAAAATGCAGTCTATAATTATAAATATTTTCTCGTATTTAAAAAACACTTACCTTGGTGGGATCGAACTCGGGACCTCTGGATCGTGAGCTAACTGCCTTACGTGGTGGACTACTTCTTAATTTGATGTAAGTGTTATATATAGTCTACATGTGTCATAACCAGCGCAAATATATAATTTTTCAAAAATCATCTTAAGAAACAAATTCAGTTTAAAAAGAGTAATAAAATTTTGAATTGGATATTAAAATGATATCCTCAGTACTATTTCAAAACTTGTACACTTTTATCACGACGAATTAGTACAGACCTTCATATAAAATGTATTTGTGCCTTACTTTTATTTCTTTTTCTTAATATTATCAGGAATTACCTTTTATAATGTTTCTATACAAATTGTAGTACTGGTCAGTGATTAATTTCACATGGAATATTCAGTTCAGTACTTGAGTATTAATATTAAAATACTGGCCAGTGATTTATTACACATGGAATCCTTGGTTCAGTACTTCAGTACTAACATTGAAATACTCATCAGTAATTCAACACAAGTATTTATTACACAAGTATTTTTCCCCTAGTATTAAATGCTTTCTCATCAGAAATTTATTACTAAGTATTCAATACTCGTCCTGTATTAAATACTACTTTCATAAATTACTGACCAGTAATAAAATACTATGCAATACTTGGATCACAGTGATTCAAGTACTAATAAATACTTAATTTTAGTATTATTAATACACAAAATAAGTATTTATTACTAACCAGCTAGTAATACTTTTTTGTAAGGGATATAGAGCATATATAATCATATATGGTTATCTATTGCCATATATGATCAGATAGTATATTATACATGACACAAGATCTGATCATATAAGTTCATATATGGTCAGAAATATTATTATTTGTAGCAGATATGACACTATACATAATCGTATCTGGCCTTACATGATCGTATATAAAGAATGTTTGGCCATGTATTATCAGATATAATTATATATGGTCATACATAACTATATCGGCACTGTACATGATCATATATGACAAGACGCGATGTATATATGACCAGACTGGGATATAATGATATAAAATGTCCGGGAAAAATATTCATATCTGACAGTATATGAACATATATAAATGAGATATGAACAGATATAAGTTTTACATGCCCATGTATAGAGCATATATAATCATATATGGTGATCAGAATCATATATGGCGATAGATAACCATATATGATTATATATGCTCTATACATGGGCATGTAAAACTTATATCTGTTCATATCTCATCAAGAGACACGGTAGTGTCTCGCGCCAAGTACGCGCGAAGCGAGACGCACCGTGACTCTTTTACGCGAACGCATGAGTTGCGAGTATCCGAGATTTTGAGATCTCAATAACGAGTGAACGGATCAATTTCTAAGTAAGTTCGATCGATAGCTTGGGGTTTGATTTATAAATAACAGTCTTTTTTTTCCGTTACGTGCCCTACGAGCGAAGATATTGCGATGCAAAGTCCAAATGTGGAAAATTTTTTTTTAAGAAACGTCCACGTCGGACAAAAATGGCGGCTGGTGTGTCACTTTCCCATTTTTGACACGAGAGTGCATTCGTGCACTGTCGCAGTGCGTGACACTGACAGTGACAGTTTTTTACAACCTAGAAAAGGATAAGTGTAAAGTGTGTGATAGTCGTGACCGTTGCCGCGTCGTGACAGATAGTGAAATGAAATATATATAAGTATTGACCGTAGAGAGCTGATGCCGATAGATCTTTAAGAAGGAAGGTGTATCTACAAAATCGTACAAACACGTACGTATATGCTGTCTTGTAAAAGTTGTCAAACTGTATGTTTACGCGAGCGTTACTTCTGTAGTAACTTACGATAATTCACTCGTTTACGCGGAGTAAATTATCGTAAGTTACTACAAAATCCCGTTTACGCGAAGGAAAATTCTGTTTACGCGAAGGAATTATCGTTAAGTTTACTACAGAAGTAACGCTCGCGTGTAAACGTAGTAAGTGAAATATATAAAGTATTAACCACAGAGAGATGTCGAGGAGATCTTTAAAAGAAGGAAGGTATATTCAAAATGGCACACGTAATACGTATATGCTGTCTTGTAAAAATTGTCGAACTATATGTTTACGCGAGTGAGTACATCTATATAGTAACTTACAGTAATTCATATTAAGATACGTCGTCTCTCAATCAGAGAAACGTAACCTTCACTACTTTCAACGGTGGCTCTTGATTTCCGATCATAATAGTTACTATAAAATCTCCCGTTTACGCGGAGGAATTATCGTATCGTAAGTTACTACAGAAGTAACGTTTGCGTAAATAGGTTATAAAAATAACACGATGTTATATATGTGGTTTGCCGTGAATATATATATATGTGTGTGTGTGTGTGTGTGTGTGTGTGTGTGTGTGTGTGTGTGTGTGTGATTTCTGCCTAGTGCTCTGAATGTCATCTAGTCATACATATCAAGAACTTTCGATGGGCTTCTTCAGAAGATAGGATATGAAGAAAATCCTAATGCATGATGACGATACCACAAAGATGCTAAGGCTAGATGCCACGAAATGTGCATGTATCGTCGATCACGCGGAATGCAAGAGAAAATCCGCCGTTAAGGGGATGCTAAAGCCGTCCAAATTACCGACAATTCATTTCAAAGCTCTCATTTTGAAACGGCTTTACAGATCGCAAAATCCTTTTACAGGAGTAAAGTAGAGGTACTAATGAAGGGTGGGATTGTCAAATAATTAGTAATAATTGAAAAAAATTTTTAAATGCTGTCACCTCATAACCTTATTTTCTGATATAAACAGTTGTATACGTAATATGTACGAAATTAAACTTTCCCACCCTTCAGAAGACGTGCACAAACAATAACGTACCTTTGAAATTGAGATTGAAAGCCTGGAATAAAAATGAGAGCTTTGAAACGATCGTGTATATTTTTCACAAAAATATTCACGCAGAGCAGCAATTATGTCACAGCAGTAGTTCACGGATCTTGCGAGAGATGGCGAGATGGCGCACGCAGCTGTATGGGCAGTTTCGGGGTTGGCTACATTGTCTGGTTCCTACACAGCAATCGAACCAGGACAGATATATGATA